CTTGTTTTAGCAGCAAGGTAGTCTTGGTCTTTCTGTTTTTGGCAGTGAGCAAATCACATGTTCATCATGACTTGTTAGCACTTAGCACCTTTATGATGGTGGTGCTTCTGGTTCTGTGATTGAGTGGCGTAGCTGGAGCCTAGTGTTAACTGTCTTCTGTTGTATCTGATATTCTGATTTCTACCTTCTGCCTGGCTCATTTCCATCCAAAACCGGAAAATCTGATCACCTATATTTATTGTTGAATCAGGTCAGTGAACTTTGATTTGGAGGATGAGCATGCGAGATGGTCTCTTAAGCGAATGACCCTGTGCAAATGGGATTCCACTTCAGTGTAAACTAAATGCTCCTCAGCATCAGAGATCAAGTATATGTTGTTTAAGCTTTATGTGATAGCGAACCCATGTGGCGTCGGGGAACATATCTTTCATTGATTGGACAATTAGCTTCTTCAGCTTCTTCTTCAATAGTCATCTCATCCCCATTCATGTGTCGCTCCCGTGATCCCGGGCACTTCGTGTCTTCGAGTCGCTACATGGAATGATTTGCCTCTGCGACCACTATAATGCTTATGCTTATGCTTATGACTTCTTCGTGCGAAATCTGTCGGTCAGACTCTTCATCAACCTGAGTGATTGTATTCCTCTCCATTTTCAAACGAAGGATGGGGGCTCGAATAGTATTCCTCTCCATTTTCAACCGCATCCTTGGTCTTAAGGGATTGCATGGTGAATGGATAAAACATCCTGCTCTCTTATCTTCTCACATCAAGGATTTCTTTCAGGATCTCTTTACAGCCAAGGAGACAGGATTTGATGATCATCTTCTGCAGGATTTCCCTCGGTTGGTTAATTCAGACATGAATGACCTCTTAACCAGACCGGTGACCTCAGAAGAGATTAAGACGGCCGCTTTCTCTCTTGGAGCCCATAAATCCCCAGGGCCCGATGGCCTAAATGGATTCTTTTTCAGGAAATTTTGGGACGTGGTGGGAGAAGAATTGTGTCAAGAAGTCTCTTCTTTCTTTTTGACCGCCTCTCTTCCTGCAGGATGGAATGATACACACATTGCCCTTGTTCCAAAAGTCTCCACTCCTGAGAGAATAAGCCAATACCGACCTATAAGTTGTTGCAATTTCAAATATAAGGTGATCTCCAAAATCATGGCCTCCCGTGTCAAAGATATGATGCCTGGTTTGGTTTCAGAGATGCAAGCTGCATTCACAGGAGGAAGGATGATCCAAGATAACATTATTATTGTGCATGAGGTTCTCCACCACCTTAAAAATCGTAAGCAGGGTCGGAGGTATGATATGATGCTCAAGATGGATATGCGCAAGGCCTACGACTTAGTGGATTGGGACTGTTTGGACTCCCTTCTCTCGGCCTATGGCTTTAATCAGACATGGTGTAGCTGGGTGAAGGAGTGTGTTCGAACAGTTCGGTTTTCTATCCTACTGAATGGTGGCCCAACAGGATTCTTCTCGCCTTCTAGGGGAATTCGACAGGGTGACCCTCTTTCCCCATTCCTTTTCATTCTTATGTCTAATGCCTTATCCTTTCTGTTGGATAAAGGTATTTCACAGGGGACGATCCATGGTCTTAGGTTGAAACAACATTGCCCTCTTCTGACCCACTGCCTCTTTGCGGATGATACGGTTATCTTTGGTCGTGCCTCTCTAGAGGAAGCTGAGGCTATTATGCAGATTATCAACAGTTACAGCTTCCTTACTGGCCAGGAAGTGAATATGGACAAATCTTCTCTGTTCTTCAGCAAAAACACTCCAGATGATCTGAGAAGCCAAATCTCTTCTCGTTTTGGTTTTCCAACGAGTATTCTTCATGACAAATATTTGGGGGTCCCCACGGAATGGGGGAGATCAAAGAAGGAGACTTTTAGTTTCTTGATCGAGCGTATGGAGAAGAAAGGAGGGTCATGGAAAAGCCTTACTCTCTCTCATGCAGGGAAGGAGACCCTCCTCAAAGCAATTATTCAAGCTATCCCTACCTTTATCATGAGTGTCTTCTTGCTCCCGGCCTCTTTGACCAAAAAGATGGACTCTCTTCTCCGTAATTTCTTCTGGTCGGGATCAATGAAGAAACGATCCATTCCGTGGCGTAAAGGGGAAGTGCTCAATGATCCTAAATGTATTGGTGGGCTTGGTTTTCGAAATTTTCATTTCTTTAACCTTTCCCTTCTTGCAAAACAGGGCTGGCGTCTTTTGAATGATCCAGAAGCCTTGTGGGCTCGTCTCCTACGGAGCCTGTACTTCCCCAACTCTGACTTTCGTTCAGCGCGGAAGGGAAGGTCTCCCTCTTGGATTTGGTCAAGCTTGTTTGAAGCAAGGAAGGCCTTGGATTTAGGGACGATTCGTATCATCGGCGATGGAGCTGATACGTGGTTCGACAAGGATCCTTGGATTCCGTCCGTGGAAGGCCATAGTATTTCCTCTCCTAATGTCCCTCACTCCAGGGTCAAGGATTGGATGGAGGAAAATTCCCAAAATTGGAACTGGAACCTGATTCATAACCATTGCTCTGGTACAGATTCAGAAGCTATCTCCAGAGTTAAAATTGGCCCGCCGAACTCCAAGGATAAGTGGGTTTGGAAGTTTACTACAAACGGAGGTTTTTCTGTGAGATCTGCATACCATGGAGTGAGGAACCATGCTCGAGAGTCCTCTCTCCTTCCCACCCAGGACCTCAATTTCCCCTCTTCTGAGGACTCTTGGAAGTGGCTTTGGGCTCTTGAGCTCCCTCCTAAGATACGGTTTTTATTTGGAGATGCTTGAGGAACGCTATCGCAACGAAAGCCAATCTTTATCACCGACGATGCTCTCCATCCCCTCGGTGCCAAATCTGCAATGCGGAGCAAGAATCTCTCATCCATTGTCTCTTCCTTTGCCCTCATGCTAAGGAAACGTGGGCTAGGGTTCTTCCGCATGTTAGACCCCCCCAGAATTTCAGTCAGTGGTTCTTCGCGATGAGAGATACAGATGCTCTTTCTTCGATTCGGCTCAAGTCCTTCTGCCTTTGGAACATCTGGAAGGCCCGTAATGAGTTTATCTTCCGTGGCGTCAATCTGTCTCCTTTGATGACCTCTATTTTCGCCTTTCGAGAGGCTTCTGAGCCATCTCCTTCCCTTCGTTCTCCCTTCCCTACGATCCAGCCTAGGGACATTCCTTCACATTCTCATCCACCGCCGAGAGATTCCTCAAAAAGGATCCACTGTGACGGGTCATTTGATAGTGATTCGCAAGAGGCGGCTTTTGGGATAGTTATTACTAATTCCCATGGACAGATTTGTGATGGAAGGGCTGGCAGGGTCATTTGTTCGTCTCCGATTGAGGTTGAGGCTTACGCTCTTGTGGAAGCTTGTCGACTTGCAGCTATGGACAACTCCCCCACTGTTATCATCACGGATTGCAAATCTTTGGTGGATGCTTTGAACGTTGACGAGTCCTTGTGGCCTTGGCGTTGTTTTGCTCTTCTCTCGCATGTGAAGGCTTTTCTACACCATTGCAACTGGATTCGAATTTCTTTCACCAACCGAAGATTCAATAAGTGTGCGGATTGGGTTGCTCGTAATGCTCGTTGTCTTTCCCTTCCTCCGGACTGGATTTACGTTTTATCCATTGTTGCTCCCCTGCTGTAACCTCTTCTCTTTCGGTTATGAATGAATGAAATCTTTATTCAAAAAAAAAAAAAAAAACCTTGGGGAAAGGACACGTCTGCCTATCTCGTCGATCGAAGCGTGCCAATTTAGCAAGAGGACCCATTGAATGCAATTTCTTGGGAAAGAAAGTATTCCCTAATCCCGTAATCCGAGAGCAGATACCTTAAGCGCCTCCTTCTCTTTCCTTGAAATTTTTTTAAATTTCCTTTCTTTGATTTTTAATGGACGATTTCTCATTCGTTTTAACTCGGAATTTAATTTTTTTTTTACACATTTATATCAGATTAACTGTGCTTTACAAAATGATATCCACTTTAATATTTTTTGGAACAAAAAAATTTGTCAGTTATAACCAGTCTATTTCATATGGTATTGACTGGTATTAAATAACAGAATATCATATGGTATGAAAAATATCACCTCATACCAGGATGGTATAGTATGGTATGGAGTTGGTAACGAGAAGAATAAAAAAATTTCACCCAAAATTTTTTGAAATCCAATAGATCAATGATTAAATCGTTCCTTCTATGTAAAAATTTCCGAAAATGACTAAACAACGAAAGAGATACCATATGGACGAGAGAGGCCGTGGTAATCCACATAGAAACGACGAAAGATTCTATCCAATTTATGTGGCCAAACCTATTTGCGGTGGAGCTAACTCTATTTTGGTGGAATTAACTAACAAAAAAATGGAATTTTTTTATTAATATATGAACATTTAGATATTGATGTTATTTATTGGATTAAGTGTAGACTTTAAATGTGTATTTAAATAAGATGATTTGTCATATTATTTTTAATGTAGTAACTTTATTTAAAAATTAATTTAAATTACAAATAAATTCTATATGCACAATTCTTTAGGTGATAATTTTCAACTTTCCTTATATTTCGTTAAATGAGCATAAATCCGTATATAATTTTTTTTTTTTCTGTCAAATACGTATATAATTGCAACCTGTCCCATAAAAAAAAAATTGCAACCTGTAAAGGTCAATGTTACCCCTCCACGCCTCCACCACAGAGTAAAATTGCAAGCTAACTTCAACCCTCCAGTAATCTCAATGCTAGGGTTTCTACTTTCGAAGTAAGTTTTCGGGTTGGTTTGATCACACATTTCCCCGACTCTGGGCAATGAAGAAAAATCATTTGGCCGCTCCTGGTTTGGAGGACTTACCCAGAGAAATCCTGTTCCAGATTCTAGTACCTCTCCCGGTGGTTTCGATACTAAGATGCACCGCCGTATGCAAAGACTGGAATTCGCTGATCAGAAGCTCCGACTTCGTATCCCACCACCGCCGTTCCAATGCCAGCAACCGCCCTTCCCTCCTCCTCAGGCGCTGCGGCGAAGCACCCGACAGCGGCGAGATTGAGGAAGAATTCACTCTTTATCCCGACCCAGGCCGTTTATCTTCGTCTTCCTCCATCGAAATCTCATCCCCATTCAGGGCCAACTCCGACGATCCCAGGCGCCTTCGTGTCTTCGGATCCTTACACGGACTGATCTGCCTCTGCGACAACTACAAGATCTACGCTTACATCATCTACGTGTGGAATCCGTTGCTGCAGCGCTTCATCGAGCTCCCGAGGCCGACGCTCACCTACAGAAACATGGGTAATCGGCTTTATCTCGAAAGCACAGGCGAGCGACCTCGAAGGCGTGATCTAGAGAATGTGAATTATCTGTTCGTCGTGCTGGGATTTGGGTATGATTCTAGGAGGGATGATTATAAGGTGGTCCGAATCGTCTACCCTCAATCGGCTAAGCCGCCGCCGCGAGCAGAGGTTTACACTCTGAAAGAGCGATGTTGGAGGGGAATTGATTATGCCGAGCGAGTGCTGAAGTCTTGCGATGTGCCTGAGATATGGTCTCAGTGTTTTGTAGACGGGACAATCTATTGGCCTGCTAAGGTCGGATCGAAATTGAACTACATTCTGGCTTTCCATGTGAGTGACGAGAGGTTCAGCAGGATTGAGTTGCCCAAGGAATTGGCAGGGGCAGGGGAGCCAAAGCGCATTTCCATCTCGGAGACCAAGGTCACAGGTTTGCTTACAGTCATGTATCGTACCGCCAGTTCTTATGAGATTCTGGTGAAGAAAGGGCTTGGTTCCGCTGAGGATAGTTGGGTAAGATTCTGCAGCATAGCTCGAGTTCGGTACTCTCGTCAAGTTGTTGTTGGCCTGTGGAGGGATGAAAAGGTTTTACTGGAGTTGATGAGGGAGGGTGATTTGACAGGAAGTTTGGGGCTTGGGGAGGATGACGAGCTGTGCTTCTATGATTGCAAAACCCATGAAATTGAGCGACTTGGGTTGCCAGGTATGGGGCTACGAAACCGGGGAGCAGCTTATGCTGCTGATTACACAGCGAGCTTAGTTTTGTTGGAACCAGAATTCGGCGCAGTTCCTTGCTGGAACCCTTTAACGGGATATTCCTTAACAAGGCAAGATATGAACTTGGTGTTATGTGATGTTTACTGATCTTTAGCAAGAATTGTTCATCCATTTGCCCTATTTTTGCAGCAAGGAATTGTTTGGTGCTTTTGGGTTTGATCTGTGATAGGGTTAGCCTAGCTAGAGCCTTGATGTTAATGTCTGATTTCTAGTTCATGCTTGGTTCATTGCCATCCAAACAAAGGAAAGATCTGATCATTATTTTTATTGTGGCAGCAGTTCAAGGAACTCCGATTTGGAGAATAAGCATTTCAGATGGACTCTTGAGCGAATGGACCTGTTCAAGAGGGGTTTCGCTTTAGTCAAGTAAATGTTCTTCAGCATCAGAGATCCAAGTATGTGTTGTTCAAGCTTAATGTGAGGGTGAAACCATGTGTGCCGTCCGGGAGGATATTGTGGATTAACTTAAGGGATTATTTGGCAACCTATCTACTTTGCATTTTCACAATGCATGGTCTCGTAGATTTCATTACATGGTTGTTTGTGGTATTTGTTTGACGAAATCACGTATTAGTCATTCGGTTTATTAATTTGTTTCATGTTTGGCTAAATGAATTACTGCGCGAAATTTATTTGAAAATGAATTACTATGTTTGGAATGTTATATTCAAATCTTTACAAATGAATTGAACTCCCAAGGAATAATTGGAATACATTTATACTTGATTTAACAAAATAAATTACAAGTAACAATGTTGCCATTACTCAGGTTATTCAATATTTACCATTGAAAAATGAATTTATTTGTATTTCAAACAAAAACATTCAATTTCAAAATAAATAACTGAAAAGTTACGAAATTCATTTATATCTATATAGTTTCTTCTCTAATGAAATAAATTTTCCTTCTCCTTTTTTCTATTTAATATTTTTACTTCATAGTTTTATTAGTTAGATCATTCAACTTTCCTTTGATTCAAACAATACAACCAACATCCAGGTTTCAGTTTTAGAATTAAGCAAAAAAAATTGCTATATAAGTTTTCATTTTCAAGTTTTTGGGTTTTGTTTCTAAGAAAACAATAGCTTCATTTCAATAAGGTTCTGTTTCATGTTGCCACAATCACAGAAAACGAAAATAAAAGTGAATATTGAGTTGGGCAAGCTCATGACTATTTAGGGTGTCTCGAGACAATATGAAAGTCAAAGGGATGGGGAATATCCATCGCTAGCTGGTAGCAATTCAGGCGTGTCTCGACCTCTCGAGACATCACTAAAGTTTGAAAAAAGATTTTTTATCCCCAGATAGTAGTTTACGTATTAAAAAAAATAAGCGTATGGTAGTTTTTGTGATTCGAACTTGTGACACTGCATTATTAGTGAATATGCTTTAGTAAACGACAATTCAATATTGTCATATTTTAAACATAAATATAATTTTAATCTAAAACAAAGGTTTCATTATACCTCAATTTTACCAATTTGTTCTTCCAAAACCTAAAAATCGAACTCTTTGTAAAAAAGCCTAAAAACTAAACTCAAATTCAGCAAATCCCACTCTTATGATATTTGATGAATGCAAGTAAAAAAAGGTCTGACTCCTCTTCTCTCTTTGATATTATCCTAATTAGTTTGGTCACTTTTTTTTTGTCATCTTTCTCCCACTTTTATTCAAACAATATCCATTTTGACTAAATTTTTCTATTCTTTGAATTTTTCTATTTTATATTAGAAATCAATTTTATACATTTTACATAACCTATAGTATTAAAAAGTTAAGTTTAATGGTTTTTCAGCCAAACAATCAACTATTATTCTGAAAAGTACTTCACTAAAAGTTCTAGTCATTGTTGTCAAACAACTGGCATGTCGACAAGTACAATCAAGTTTAACCAGTATTGGACAAAACCAGCTACAAACCCATTGATAATATGGTAAAAAATGAAAAAGAGTGATTCGACCGAAATGATAATTTTTGGATCCTAAATAATATGACTTCATTTAGGTGAAATTAACTAAAAATGGAATTTTTTAAAATTAAAATATATATTTAGATGTTGATATTATTTATTGAATTCAATGGTAGACGTTTGGATGTTGAATTTAAATAATAGCATAAATCCGATAATCCGTATATAATTGCAAGCTCTAAAAGATTAATTGCAAGCTCACTTTAACCCTGTTGCTTCGTCGAGTAATCTCAACTCTATGCTAGGGTTTCTACCATTGAAGTAAGTTTTCGTGTTGGTTTGATCACAAACTTCCCCGACGCCGGGCAATGAAGAAAAATCGTTTGGCCGCTCCTGGTTTGGAGGACTTGCCCGGCGAAATCCTGTTCCAGATTCTAGGACCTCTCCCGGTGGTTTCGATACTGAGATGCACCGCCGTATGCAAGTACTTGAATTCGCTGATCAGAAGCTCCGACTTCGTATCCCACCACCGCCGTTCCAATGCCAGCAGCAACCGCCCTTCCCTCCTTCTGAGGCGCTGCGGCTATGCAATCTGCAGCCGCCAGATTGAGGAGGAGTTCTCTCTGTATTCCCACCCAGAGCTTTTATCTACTTCTTCCTCCATCGACATTTCTTCCCCATTCAGGGCCAACTCCAACGATCCCAGGCGCCTTCGTGTCTTCGGATCCTTACACGGACTGATCTGCCTCTGCGACAACTACAGGATCTACGCTTACATCATCTACGTGTGGAATCCGTTGCTCCGGCGCTTCATCGAGCTCCCGAGGCCGACGCTCACCTACGGAAACATGGGTGATCAGCTTTATGTCGAAAGCACGGGCGATCCAGAGAATGTGAATTACCTGTTCTTCGTGTTGGGATTTGGGTATGATTCGAGGAGGGATGATTATAAGGTGGTCCGAATCGTCTACTCTCGATCGGCTGAGCCTCCGCGGCGAGCAGAGGTTTACGCTCTGAAAGAGCGCTGCTGGAGGGGAGTTGATGACGCCGAGCGAGCGCTGAAGTCTTGCCATGTTCGTCGGAATTGGTCTCAGTGTTTTGTAGACGGGACAATCTATTGGCCTGCTAGGGTCGGATCGAAATTGAACTACATTCTGGCTTTCCATGTGGGTGACGAGAGGTTCAGCAGGATTGAGTTGCCCAAGGAATTGCCAGGGGTAGGGGAACCAAGGCGCATTTCCATCTCGGAGACGAAGGTCACCGGTTCGCTTACAGTTATGTATCTTACTTCCAGTTCTCATGAGATACTGGTAAAGAAAGGGCTTGGTTCCGCTGAGGATAGTTGGGTAAGATTTTGTAGCATGGTTCGAGTTCGATACTCCCATCCAGTTGTTGTCGGGCTGTGGCGGGATGAAAAGGTTTTACTGGAGTTGATTTGGGAGGATGGTTTGACAGGAAGTTTGGAGCTTGGGGAGGATGACGAGCTGTGCTTCTATGATTGCAAAACCCATGAAATTGAGCGACTTGGGTTGCCAGGTATGGGGCTACGAAACCGGGGCGCAGCTTATGCTGCTGATTACACAGCGAGCTTAGTTTTGTTGGAACCAGAATTCGGTGCAGTTCCTTGCTGAGACCCTGTAACGGGATATTCCTTAATAAGGCAAGATATGAACTTTGGTGTTATGTGATGCTTACTATGTTTGGATCTTTAGCTAGCATTGTTCCTCCATTATGTTGCTTTGCCTTCATTTTGCAGCAAGAAATTTTTCTTCTTTTTTGCAGTAAGGAATTGTTTGGTGCTTGTGGGTTTGATCTGTGATAGGGGCAGCCTAGCTAGAGCCTTGACGTTAATTTTTTTTTTTGATGAAGGTGAATATTATTAACCAACAAAAACCAACAGTACAGCAAAGCAGGAAGACAGAACTGCTACACAAGAAAAATAAATAAACAGACGGATCAAAAGGCTTGATCCCCTAAAACCGAAAACAACAAACTAAAAAGAAAAGAAAGAAAGAAAGGAGAAAAAAAGGAACGAAAAGGAAGAGGAGGAAGAGGACTACTAGGAGGGCCAGACCTCCTCTGCAGCCAACCGCAAGAAAAACCTCCCAGAAGGGCAACACCCAAAAACCCCCGCAACATATCACGAGAACATCACACCAAAGGCCAAAAGCCAAAACCCCAACAGAAAATGAACCTCGCAGCAACAAAAAAAAGGGGGGAGAGAGCAGAGCCCAATCCAGGGCGCTTAGATCTTGCTCAGAAACTCCTCCAGGCTCCTCTTTCCCTGCTCTTTGTCCACTTTGCCACCTGCAACCGACCACTCCACAGCGTGCCTGAGAATTTTCCGAACAACAAACTTGGGTTGGAGCCGAGCCTCCCTAAATATCCTGTTGTTTCGTTCCATCCAAATCTGCCAGCACACAGCATGCATCACACCATAACGGATCCAACTCGTCACATTATCATCACACTCAATGGGCCACCTGGAGATGACTTGAACAATGTCCCTAGTCAAGGACTCGGCCAAACTACAAGCAGACATCGTTCTCTCCCAAACCTCCAAGCTGAAGTCGCACCGAACAAATAGGTGATCAACCGTCTCCTCATCCCTGTTACACAACTCACACCTATTTGCAAGCGGCAATCCCTTTCTCTTTAGATTATCGATCGTGAGGATACTCTTAAGCGCCACGAGCCACATAAAGGAACATATCTTGGTTGGAACAATCGCCCTCCAAACAGAATCAGCAGGGAATTCGTCGATGCCCTTGAAAGATTCCCCCGCTAGGTACCTGTACATGGATCGAACAGAAAAAGAACACTCCTGGTTTGGAAACCAGACAGGCCTAGGTGGCCCACAAGAAACACATCCAGAGCCACTAGTATTAAGCAACCTCAACATCTCAGATCTCTCCCTCTCAGCCCCCCCCCTCTAAGATTAGTAGATAACGAAATTTGCCAAGAAAAAGACTCACCTGAGGGGGACAAAGCATCAAGTATCCTGGCATCCGGAGCGCTAGCGGCGGCAGCAACTCTTGGAAAAGCATCAGCAAGCACCACCCCAGGGATCCAGCTGTCATGCCACAAAGAAACCCATGCTCCATTTCCAGGGTCAATTCCAGCCATACTCCAAAAGGAATCATACTCTTTAGAGATGTTGGCCCAAACCGATCCTGCAAAACCTTGTCTGCTCCTCCCAGTGCACCAATCAGAATGCTGGTTGGGATACTTAAGGCTGATCAAATTCCTCCACCAACTTCCTCTTTCCGTAGCAAAACGCCATAACCACTTCCCCAGCATGGCTTTATTAAAGCACGCCATATCCAAAATCCCGAGGCCCCCGTGAGAAAAGGGGGCTTTACATACATCCCATTTAACCAAAGACATCCTACGATTATCTCCTGTACCACTCCAAAAGAACCTCCTCTGTATACTTTCCAGTCTCTTCGTAGCTGTGCTAGGGGCCCTGAAGAGTGAAAAGTAATAAACCGGCTGACTGGAGAGAACAGCTTTTAAGAGCGTCATTCTGCCTCCCATGGATAAATGCCTCCCTTTCCATCCCTCTAATCTCTTCTGATATTTGTCAACGATTGGATCCCATATAGAAACCGCATTAGGCTTGGCCCCAAGAGGAAAGCCTAAGTACTTCGACGCATCATTACTCCAGTTGCATCCGAAGATAGATGCAAAGAAATCGGGATTAGGAACATCTCCCACTGTGTACATAGTCGATTTATCCAGATTAATCCTGAGTCCTGTGACGGTTTGGAAACACACAATGGTTGCAAGAATGTTAATAACCTGGTCATAAGCAGCATCACAGAAAATCAAAGTATCATCAGCAAAAAGTAAGTGAGTGACTTCCCCGCTTCCCTCCGCCTCATTCATGCAGAACCCAGTAATCTTTCCATTTTCCCGAATCTTACTGATCATGTGAGACAACACATCCATGACTAAGGTAAATAAACCCGGCGACAAAGGATCACCTTGACGCAGGCCTTTTTGCGCATCGAAATAACCCTTTGACTCTCCATTGATAAGCACTGAAAGCTTAGGGTTGCACATAGTTCCCTTAATCCACTTTACCCATTTCTCGGAGAAGCCCATGTTGGAGAGGATTCTGAACAGACAGTTCCAGTTAACATTGTCAAAAGCTTTCTCAATATCCAGCTTAAACATCAACCCCGGCTTTCTGCTTTTCTTCCGACTGTCCACAAGCTCAAAAGCAATTAGACCAGCGTCTCCAATCTGTCTGCCCTTAACTGAAGCGTGCTGGTTCTGAGAGATCACTTTCGGGAGAACTGTAGCAAGCCTTCTAGAGAGAACTTTGCTCACCAACTTGTTAAAACTGCCCATTAAACTAATCGGTCTCAAGTCCCTAACGTTTTCCACAACATCCTTCTTCGGAACCAAACAGATGAAAGAGTGAGTGACGATGTTGGGCAAGAAACCCGAGAAATAGAATTCCCCAAAAGCAGTGATGATGTCTGTCTTTATCCAATTCCAGCATTTCTTATAAAAATCCCAAGTAAAGCCATCCGGCCCAGGAGCTTTATCACCATCACAGTCAGACAAGCTAGCCCAAATTTCGAGCTCGGAAAAGGGCATATCAAGCGCCCACTGATCAGCCTCACTAATCTGACTAGCACTCATATTCCCAGGGAAAGGCCGAACACAAATTTTCTCCTGAAACAAGTCAGCATAGTAACCAACAATACTCACAGCCACTGAATCTCTTCCTTCAATAAGATTCCCATTGATTCTAATGCTACCAATCCAATTAACCTTCCTTCTGTAATTTGCAACTCTGTGGAAAAAGCTAGAGTTTTTGTCTCCCTTTTTCAACCAAATCTCGCGGGACTTCTGTCTCCATGAAATTTCCAGCAAGTCTAGCACTCTCCCTACCTCAACAAGGAGACAGTCTCTGTTGGAAGTCTCTTCAAAAGAGAGAGGACGAGACTCCTCCTGCATATTGATTTCCTGTACCGCAGCTGTGAGGTCAGCAAGCTTCTTATTCATGTCACCAAACACCTCCCTATTCCAAACCTTGATGTGTTCTTTAAGATTATGAAGCCTACGAGCAAAACGGAACACCGCCCCCCGACCTTGAATCTGTGCAGAAATCCAATCAGCCAAACCTTCATAAAACCTAGCATCTTCCAACCACATATTTTCGAACTTCCACGGCCTATGCACCCTAGAATTCTCCCCCCACCTGAGTAAAAGAGGTGAGTGATCCGATTCAATTCGCTCAAGAGCAGAGAGAGAGCAATCTGGATATAGACTATCAAAACTGGATATAGCCTTGACGTTAATTGTCTTCTGTTATATCTGATTTCTTGTTCCTGTTTGGTTCATTGCCATCCAAACAAAGGGAAGATCTGATCATTATGTTTATTGTTGCAGCAGTTCAAGGAACTCCGATTTGGAGGATGAGCATTTCAGGTGGTCTCTTGAGCAAATGCACCTGTTCAAGAAGGGTTTCGCTTTGGTAAAGTAAAATGTTCTTCAGCATCAGAGATCCAATTATGTGTTGCTTAAGCTTAATGTGAGGGTGAACCCATTTGCCGTCGGGGTAGGATATTCTGGATTAACTTATGGGATTATTTGGCAACCTATCTATTTTGCATTTATACAATCCATGGTTTCTTAGATTTAACATTGTTGTTACCGCGGTATTTGTTTGACCAAATGACACGTTTGGTCACTTGGTTTATCGATTTGTTTCACGTTTGTTATCAAATTTTTTTTTATTGTATCATTGATCAATATGTCTAAAGTGGATATTTCATCATTCACTGATCATATAATTTCTATGAGTTCGTCCTAATTGGCAAGTCAACTATATTCTTTCATGACATTATATCATAATTAATAGTCGCGATCATTTTGCTATTTTATAACATATTTCTTTTTATTTTATAATTAAAGTTGAACTCAACAGGGATGCCCATCTTGTGGCACAAAAGACCCTTTCATCGAGAGTTCGACTATTGGTCGACTCTCGTACTTTTCTTTCCTTTTCCTTATGACTTTCTTTTCAACACTGACTTTGCAGGAGGAAAAAAAGTTGAACTCTTCTATTCTTCTAATCTGCAATTACCTCCGTGCTGCTCTGCATAGTTCTAGTCGTTCAAATCACTGGCCGGTAAACACCTCGATATGTTGATTTTATAGAATTTTCATATCTAATTTTTGTACCAAATCCCCTCCCATAAAATAATAGCCATGAGTATGGAACAATGGGAACATAACAAAGAACTCCCCCAACAGCCCAATCAACAAAAACGAGAAACCAAAGTACCTGAAACGACAATCAATCAATCATCCTAATTATTTACCTACTCTACACATTTACAGAACTTCCCAAAAAATTTCTTGTGTCAATCTTTCATCCGAAACATGCACAAACAACAAAGAACAACCCCTCTGGGTCTGGGGCATCTATCAAAAATCAAATACATATTGCATAATAGCAAATATAGAAAGTATAACTGTATATATCATTATATCATCTACTAAATTCATCTTCAAACACTACCCAGACCGTGCTGATCTTCGTCTCCAAACTACTCTTCCAAGAAAACAACGCACCAAAATCACCACTGCTATCCCCAACCTCCAAATCACCATCCCCATCATCCTCCTCCTCTCCACCAACATCCTTCACTCCACCCCCCAACACCGGCGGCGGGGAGCTCGAACCGGCCTCGAGATCGACCTGCTCGAGCGCCGCGACATGTTCCAACGTCATGATCTGCACCACAGGGTACTCCAAATTCTTGTTCCCGATCACCTTCTCGCACGTATCATACATCAGCTGCAAAACCCCACTCTGCATCGAAGCCCTCCTCAGTATCCTGCACGCCAGGGCCCTCGCGCCGGCGGTCAGGTCGAAGAACATGTTCATCAGCGCCGCCACGCACTCGCAGTACGTGGCGTACACCTGGAAGCTCTCTTTCAGCGTGCTGGTCATGGCGGCCCGGTACAGAGTGTTGAAACAGGGCAAGTGGGCGAACGGGCAGCAGGACTCCAGCACCCTGTCCATGAACGCCTGGCACTTGGGCAGCCTGCGGAACACCAGGTCCACCGACTTCTCGTCGTAGGACCCGAACTCGAGCCCCTGGTTCATGACCAGGGGCTCGAGCTTCCCCGCCTGGTTGATGACCCAACCGATCCTCTCCTCCAAGTAGGCGGAGTACTTGTGGAGGAAGTAGACCGAATGGTCGGACGGGTTCTTGGCGAACCACGGGGCGGCCAGCTGCAGGTGGCCCGACGCGTGGGCCATCCGCAGCTGGTGCTCGAAGTACCGGTTGCCTCCCCTGAGGAGGCGGTGGACGAGGAGCAGGGTCTTCAGCGCGACGAGCCTGTCCCTCGTCTTGGCGAGGCGCCTGGAGATGCGCTCCGCGAGGAAGGGGATGGAACCTGGGGAGTTTGTGGCGAGGAAGAGGATCTCGTGCATGTGCTTGTCGTCGACGTTGGAGGCGTGGTGGTGGCCCGTGGCTCGAACCACCGCGATCTCGAGGTGGGAGAAGCCCCTGCCTTCGGCCGACTTGTGGACCATCCTGGCCTTGCCTATGGACGCTCGGTCCTTCACCGTGCCCAGAGCGAGCCGGAGCTTGTCCGACAGATCGACGACGCCCATCATGGCTCGATAGGGTGATTGTGCGTCCGACGTCTTTGTACGTAAGTAGCAGAAAGGTGGCAGAGGAAGAGAGAAGCTCTACTAGCTATGGCTGGGTTGGAAATGGAAGGGAAGTGGAGAATTATATATGATCAGAGAATGGCAATTGGAGGAGAATAGATGGAGTGGAGTGGGAATAGAATGGCAATTGGAATATTACCAGGAGGGATTTTTTTTTTCTTTCAATCGGTTTGTTTCAATAATCTACATGGAAATCCTGAAGCTGAGATTGGAATTTCAGGGTAGGTTTTGCCTTGGCTTTTATCGGAGAAGAAGAGAAAGGAAAAGGAGTGATGATGGGTGAAGTTTTGACCCCGATGATTAAGGAGTTAAGATTTTGAATATTTCTTCATTAAGATAAGAACGATTCTGAAACTCAACCGTAACCTAGGAATTGGACTCTCTATTAGAAACAATTCGTTCTCACTGTTACATTTGTCAAACGATGAGTAAATTTCATACATCAGTTTTTACAGATTTCTAAAAATGTGGCATGAACGCATGCCACTTATCGACACTATAATAAGAGATCACAAATTGCTTATCGACATTCTTATAACTTATCCCATACCACAACCTGTCTACTGCCTTGCTCGATTTTATCCGAACTACATCACACCACACCAACACAAGATTGGAGAAATACTTCGTCAAACGGATATAAAAATAAATATTTTTCAGGTGGCTCAAACATAAAACCCAGGTTCCATACAAGTTGACTTTAGAGTGAGGTTCCTTTCTGACTTTTGGATTGTGGATAGAAATGAATACATTGCAAAGAAAAAGAAAGTCAACTGAAGAGCCAACAGATAGGTTATTTCTTCTCAGGTGGTGGTGGAGGGAGGGAAGAAAGAGAGAAAGAACCTCATTCTCTGGGAACATATGCGGCTGCACCAAACCGCTTCTCTATTCGCTATAAATCCCCCAAATCCAAATCTATATATTCGTACAGCTTTTGACCCTTTTTCCCCTTTTATTAACTCCACATTCCCCAGGTCCCCTCCTGCCTTTCTACTTGCAACACTTTCCTTTTCAATCCATTTGACAGGAAAAAACACACCCAAAATAAGTTATAATCCTCAATGGACTTCGTACATGGACACGAACCCTCTCATCTTAACATTCCTATGTTCACTATAGAGAATGCAACAAAGCAACAATCATATACTAATAACTCAAAGTCGATAGAACGACGAACAAGCGAAGAGTCTGTCCACAGAAATCCATCATATCCGATGTCTACTATTCCATATCAATACTCTAGATTCTTGAGTTTTGAATGTGTTTTTAATGGCAGGCTCCACGGACCAACGGCCGAGATCGAGATGATCTCGAGAGGATGTTTGTGGCTGTTGGACATCTATATGTTAAGAGCAGGCTACTGCTGTGATTCCCGTGAAAGTAAAGAGTTGCTTCTTTGCAGGTTGTGAGGTCGGACACTACAGATGTAAGAAATAGCGACAAAATAAAACTTCAGTGCTGCTCGCATAAACTCAAAGCTGCATGCCAGATTATATGCAACACAGCTGTTTGAACATTCTATCATCTGATAGCTTCTTTCGAAATTATACTATCAGACATCAGCTTCAGATTTACACTTGCATCTACATAGGTTGGTTGTAATTACCTCGAATATGCATTATTTGTGTAACGAACGGGCTCCGGAAATGGCTGCGCCATGGAATCTGCTTCGTCCTACTTCAAAGGCTTCATGCCCTGCAAGCAAACGTCCCATAGGATATGAGAGGGTACATAGAGGCTAGAAGGATTTCCATTCTACAGTCAAATGGGAAACACTATTCCTGCCATGTGACTTGACACTCTATTCAATCATGGGATGAAGGGACACAGCAGTGGAGATGAAACCAAAGGTGTAAAATTTTCTCTATAACAAATGTTCACTCCAGCCTCATCTTTTGCCCTTCTCTCACGTTCTCGTTTTTCTCTTTCTGATCTATTTATCATACTCTTAAGCTACTCTCTTTTAGAAGACATCACGGTTGCTTGAAAGAGCACTTCCAAGTTCCAACAAACATAAGAATGCACACAACGGGGAAAAGACCCTGTACTTCAGGCTCATAACATTTCCAGGCAATAATATTCGGAGGAAATTTATACATGTTCATCTTCCCTATTCCTTGGAAGGCTCCCATATGGAACAAATTTTCAGTTGATTCCGGTCATAGGTTCCCTCCAAGTTCAAGAATCAGGAAGTAATCACTAAAATGTGAATCAACAAATCTCCACAAGGAAGGTTAGTCAAGGGAGGCAAACAGATATCACAGTTAAGGAAATATTCACAATCGAATCCAATTTGTATTTAAGAAAAACTCATTACAGTAGGAGCTACTTGACCCCATTCTAGCAATGATCAATGGTATGGTACCTTGGAATTCCGGAACTCATTCACAGCAAGACGAAGCGAGTCATCTGACAGTATTAATCGCGATAATGCACCTGTGCTTAACCTGAAAGAGTAAGCAGCTTAGTCCACGAGCATTTGAATTGTGCAGACAAAAACCTAACTAATATGAGCTTAATTGTTATGGCTAAGAACAAAGCTCGATGTGAATGTTCAAAACAGTGCAAAAAGAGCACATCTTGCTGCGCAGAAGCTTAAGAGGACAAAAACTAAATGCAAACAAAGAAAGCTCAGAAGGCAAAATCATACCCAAGCAGTTTTGCAGCTTCAGATACAGAACCCTCAACAGCGACTATCAGGTCCAGGAGAGCTTGCATTCCCTAAACACAAGAATGCTTAACAAAAGCAAACAGAAACGCCAATGTTGAATGAAGAAATTTTATTGAAGAACCAAAAGACGCAAGCAGTATAGGTACCATAGCGAATTTAGGATTATTGGGGCCAATTTGAGAACCAGAAACCGAGGTTTTGATGGTGGATTTGGAAGGAAGAATTTGAAGAAGCTCCGGCGGAGGTGAATATCCATCAAGTTCGACAGCGTTTCTCACTAGCTCAAGAATGACAAACAATCAAGCACGACTATGGAAATGCAACTCAGCAATTCGTGCTACTAGTCCGCTGTTTGGCGGTAAGTATAGAAGTTTCATTTACCTTTGAGAGCCAGCAGCGTGCGCAGCCGCTTCAAAGCTGAAGCACGATTCTTGTGCTGAGATCGATCCTCAACGGCCTGCAAAGACATTACAACAAACAGTTGGCGTGCACCCCGGCATTCACAGCTAAACCCCGAAAAAGAAGCAGGAAAATGAGAGGAAAAAAAAACCGGGTCCCTGAAGTAACCTGAGCGATTATGCCAGTAGGTAAGTGCTTGAGACGGACGGCGGACTCGCGTTTGTTCCGGTGCTGACCGCCGGGGCCGGATGCTTTATAAGTGGCCATCTCGCACTGTCGCATCAGTTCTTCGTCCGTCAATTCCAGATACGACTTCCCGCTCCTCTCCTCGCCGCCATTCTCATTTCCGGCGGTGTTACTACTAGCAGTCGTAGCAGAACGGTAATTGAAGCAGAACCGGCGGAAACCTGAAGGATAACTCCGATCACTCCTTGCTGGCGTGAGAATCGGCGTTGATGAATGGATTCTCAAGGACATAAATTTGGGATAACGACCACCATTGCAGCAGTGGAGGAAACCAGTAGAAGAAGAAAACTGAGACGCAGAAGGTGGTTCCAAACAGCGCTTGGAGTTCGCCCCTCGGAGTCGCACTCGCCGGAGAAGAAGAACCGATTTAGGGGCGAACTGGGCCGCCAATGCCATCACGTAATTTGCCGGAACAAGGAATGACGTTAATGGCTCAAAAATCCGTCGGAGTATACTTGTCTGAAACAGCGTCCGTTACTCCGTTAGGGGATTAGATGGGCTTTGCTTCATTAGCCCAATCATGTGATGCAGCCCAGCCCAACAACATTGAGCAAAATGGTACGATGTATTATTGGTCGTAGAATACAAGAATATACAATACATTATAGTACATACAGCGTCAGTATGAATTTACAGCGTATATGAAGTATGAACAAGTCATCTTATTGGGTAAGAACAAGCTGATCCAGCCATGGAAGCAGATTCTGATGAACCAATTCAGGCCTGTCATCATGAGGGCAGTGTCCGACTCCTTCCAGCACGCAGAGCTTAACGTTGGACGATTCAGAGGGCAGCGACGAGAAGTATTTACCCACAGGACCATCAAGAGGAGTGAAAGGATCCTCGTCGCCCCATAGTATCAGAACAGGCTGTGAAATCTTCGGCATCAAGGTCACTGGGTTCGGCCCTGGTGGCCCTGTTACTATCGAGACGAATGCATCCAGCGCCCCTTCGTCGCAGGCAGGCCCTCTAATGATCTGATCAAAAGAATGCCAATCCCACCAAATTATTACTGGCTGTGCTTTACCAGAAAGAAAAGGAAGAAGAGCAGTGTAAAAGAGGACCAGAAGCTGTGTTACCTCTACCAGTTCATCATCAACGGAATCCTTGTTCCCATAAACAGACGACAAGACATTCCTAAGGGTATCTCTGCACGAAAATGGAGTTGTCCTAGAACCTCAGTACAGCTGTTCTTGATACAAAACTGAGAGCCTAATTAGTCAACTCAATGTTCATGTCATTAAGAACAAGGTCTTGTGATGCTCAACGGACAACGATAGACTAGTTCATGGTACTACGATTACCTTTGTTTTACGCGTTCGAAGAGGGCTGAAGCGATGGGCCGTTGATTCAGCAGGAAGTCGAAGAACCACAGCAAAGGAAGCAACAGCCTGATCCTCCAATCATCGACAACGGCCTTGTTGTTCATTCCACCAGCACAGTTCAGCAGAACCAGCCCGCATACCAGAGCTCGAGAGGATTCTTCAATGCAGAAAAATTTAAGAGTTCAGTAAATAACTATTACACAAAATGACCCACAGAAATGCTCAATGCTTAGAAACGGGCTGATCAAGGTTATATCAATACCAGAGGCAGCAATTACACAAGCAAGACTTCCAACGGAGTTGCCAATTAGGACCGTCGGCTTCTGAACTACTTCATCCAAGAAATCCAGAATCAACTGCGCCGCCGCAGGGGAGAATAAAATTAGACGCGGGTAAGCATCCATGGATAGGGGAGCAAACAACTTAGCCAAAGAACTTAAAATTACCTCAGCCCAAGTTTCCATGGTGTAAGAAAATCCTCCCGGCTTATCAGATTCGCCAAACCCTAGAAGATCAATGGCGTAGACGGCGCGATTCTGCGCCAATGTCTCGATATTCCTGCAATTTCAGACGGGTGGCTTCATTTTCACCATTTGGGGGAAGGATAAGAGGGTGAAGAAAAGAAGGGCTTACCTGCGCCAGTGCGGGATCGAGGCGCCGAAGCCGTGAACCAGGAGAAGCGGCGGTGACCGGGAGGGAGACTGGGCGACGAAGTAATTGATCGTGTACTGGCCCTTCCACCTCCATTTCAAGCATCTTTCCTTGATCTCCGTAGCCTGCAGCGCGCCGGAGGAGGAAGAAGCGGGTGAAGGGGAAGTCGGGGCTTCCGCGGAGGAGCGAATTGAGAAAGCCCTCGGTTTCGATTTCGTCCGCCGCGCCGATTGCGGCGGCGCTCTGTGCGGCTGCGGCGGCGGGAATGGAGCCGTGAAGGGAGTGGCGCTCGCTGTTTGCAGCGGACGCAGCAATGCCACTACCACCATATCTTCGTGACTTGGCAAAGCTGCGACCTTACGTCTGATTTAACAGAAACTAAGGAATCAAACGGCAAGCATATCTAGTGAAAATTTGGCATGTCAATTCAATCCGCAAAATCCACGTACCGCCGACAGATGTTTCTCAGTAGAAGAAGCAAACGCCGGAGCCTGATCGGAGCAAAGTGAGTCGGAACTCGGAAGGAAGCACCGAAGCAGCATTTCAATTTTTTCCGCTGGCCTATTAAGCTCGGAGTCAATATTTCGCACGAAAGTCAATATCTTTTACTATATCGCGGGAGACGTATCGTCAATTCCTTTAAATTTACCGCGTGTTTTTGTGGTTCGAAACGTATTGCGTTTCGGCGTTTCAGGTACGCGGGTTTCGCCAAGTTATTTCCTAGAAAACACAGAGGCTTTGTTTTCTTTTTAGTTTTTACAACACTAGTATAGAGTCGTAATTACGATTCAAGCTTTCCATAAATATCTCCAATGCTACTGTTTCTTTGTACATATTTTTCTTTCAATCAGGAACCAAACCGCTCATGAACGACTCGAAGTTTGACTTGATAAAACACGTTTAATTAAGAAAAAGTTCGACTTGTTTAGTAACAAATCGAGATTGTGCTAAACCTTGTTCAACTCTTGAACCGGCTGGTTGGCTAGGTGGTTTGTTGAGCTCAACTAGTGAAACTCTCTTGTTTTGATGATAGATGCAATGACACCCTACCAAACTCTCTTGTTTTGAGCTCATGAGATGTCTCAACATTGTAATTAGTGAGCTAACTCGACTACTGGCTTACAAGAAAATGGATATATATCTTATGAGTTGGCTTATTGATATAAATATTAGAGTTAATCATATGTTTAAGATTTTGAGTATGTGAGCAAATATGTCTCATATCGTAACTGATCTCGTATCATATATGAGATATAAATATTAGAGTTTTTAATTTTTAAATTATCATAGATCTGAGGTTGAGTCGATTTCCTGATCTTAATAATTAATCGAGTACGTTTTAATAAATGAGTCAGCTCGAATTTGACTCGGCTCAACTCGTTTATAAATGAACCAAACTCTAAATCGATTTGTATATTAACGAGCAAAACATAAACATGACAACACTAGATCCATTAACCGCTCCACTCTCATTAGAGCCATGAATCTTCTTTTTGCCTTTTTTTTTTAATAAGATAGCCATGATGCATACGTATCAGCACTTTCATGAAGATTTAGATGAAAAGTACAAACTTGTGATCTCACGAATAAATTATTGGGACAAAATCTTCGTTAAAGGGATTGATCAACCATTAATACAAAAGAAGAGTTTTATATATGTAGCTTAAACAGTGGGTAATATACACTTCTTAATAACTCCCTCCCTGAAAGATGCACAAGGTCTGCGACTGCGAGCATATAGTTATAGCTACAGTGTGTGATCTGATCCGAGTCAAATAGATACTGGTATAGGATTGGAGTGAACTCAAAGTAGTTTTAGGATTAGATCAACATTGCATTTGACTTTATTCAATCTAGTCAATTTTTGATTTTTCCACTTGTTTATTTGTTTTTAGGGATCAAACCAAATTGAAAGTCGGATCAGGCAAAAATTGTTAAGCATGTGAGACCAAAACCGAGCAAACAAGCCACCAAGAGTATGCTTTGCAATGTTCTGTGTTGTCAGGTTTTTGTTGTTGTTGCATCATCCGAGGTTCACAAGGAAGATATGCTCACTCTTTGACACATGAGATTTGGTCATATGTGTGAAAGAGGAATGCAAATTTTGTCGAAGAAAGACTTTTTTTTGCGGCACAAGGTGCATGGTCTTGCTTTCTGCGAACATTGTGTGCTTAGAAAGCTACATCACGGTAAGTTTCCTAAGAAGGTGTTCGCCAGACAAAGGGGATGTTGGGGCTCAGGGCCGTCCCATGATATTCGGAGGCCCTGTTCGAAAATTTAAAATGTGGCCCTAAAATTTTTCTCCACAAATTTATTAAAAATAAAAAATTATTAAAAAATTATAAAAAAATACATAGTCTCGAAAAATGATTACAAAAGAAATAAATGATCACGTTTCTAGTTTGACGAAGAAACCAAAACCAAATTCCCAGGGCTGTCTAATGCATCGTGGGGGCCTTGTTCCAAAATTGAGATGTGGTCTAAATTGACTTTTAACTATAATAAAACTAAAATGACTATAATATCTTTCTACATAGTTTAAAATAAAATTAGGTTAATGTCTATTTTTTATCCAAACCTTTTTCAGATTCTTTTATATTATCCAAACCTATTAAAACTTTATTAATTAGCCAAATCTTTCATAATACACCAAAATATTAGTCATTTTTACGTTATTGTTAATAATTCTGTAACTCTTTTCTTAGTTAAAATACTAAAATTTTGAAATCTTGGCCTTCATGTGTCTCTTCCAAGTCAGTATCATGTTGTCAAGTCAATATTACTAACAAAAATGCTAACTGAAAGTTAACATTCGGCTAATTTTTAGTATTTCGATAGGTTTGGATATTATAAAAGAATTTGAAAAAGGTCTGGATAAAAAATAGACGTTACCCATAAAGTTATCTATTATCTTTCTTATTTTCGTAGTCTTCATGATATCATTTTTAATTATTATTGCTGCTAAAATTATCTATTAAAATCGTCATCATACTCATAATCAATCAATCATATACTAAAAATACAATCTACAATGTACGATTGGTAACTAACGAATATAAGTGGAGGCCCCTAATATTCGGAGGCCCTGTGCCGGAGGGCGGGCCAGCACACCCTCTAGGCCGGCCCTGGCTATTGGGGTCCTTCTGGAATTGAATCAATTGGAGGCAACATGTATTTTTTTTTTTTTTTGTGTATTAACGATGACTCCTCAAGGTTTACTTGGATATTCATAATGAAGCATAAAAATGAAGCTTTTAAGAACTTCAAACAATGGAAGGCCTTGGTGGCAAATCAGACCAGAAAGAAGATCAAGAGGCTTCGTACTGACAATGGTCTAGAGTTCTATAGTATTAAGTTCAACGAGTTATGCAATGATGAAGGGATTGCCCCTCACCGAGTAATTAAAGATACTCCACAATATAATGGAGTGGTAGAATAAATGAATAAGACATTGTTGGAAAGAACAAGATGCATGCTCTCTAATGTTGGACTAGAGAGAGCAAGTTTGTCAAACTGGTTCATATGCCAAATCATCAATACCAAATAAATTAGTTAGGAAGAAAAGGTGTTCCATCGTCTCCTCAACTTCATTGCAGATCGGACAAACCTCCACCTCGGCACCTTCCTGGTGGTAAGACCCTCCCCAGTAGGCAAGACCCACCACACCATCTACCAAAGGAAGAATCGTGGCTTAGGAGGGAACGGCGCACTCCAAATTTTATTCCATAGTCCCGGATCCCAAACCCTTACTTTAGCTTCCTTGGATAGCTCACATCGTTGCCGGAGATCTGTTGCAAGGTGATATCCTGACTTCACCGTGTAGATACCTGACATTTTATGGTGCCAAACGAGTTTATGACATGGGCTCTCTGATACCATGTTATAAACCAACTGGTCCCAATAACTCGAGTTGTAGGGAGAGACCCATGTATGGTGAGGATTTGAACATGTGACCTCAAGAACAAACCAGCTCTGATACCATGTCATAAACCAGTTGCTCCCAATAACTCGAGTTGTTGGGAGAGGCCCATGTATGGTACTTAACCACTTTCTTACATGCACTCTCAAACGAAAGTCGACTCATGGGCTTGACGTTTGCACAAGTGCGCCATACCATGTGCTTGAAGACAATGGTTAATATTGGGGGTCGTGAGGACTTGAACACGTGACCTCAAGGAAAAACTAGCTTTGATACCATGTCATAAACCAACTGGACCCAATAACTTGAGTTGTTGGGAGAGGCCCATGTATGGTACTTAACCACTTCCTTACACGCCTCCTCAAACGAAAGCCAACTCATGGATTTGAAATTTGCACAGGCCCACAATACCATGTGCTTTAAAGACAACGGTTATTATTGGGGGTCATGAGGACTTGAACACGTTACCTCAAGGACAAACCAGGCTCTGATACCATGTCATAAACCAATGGTATCAGAACGGTCATAAACCAACTTGTCCCAATAACTCGAGTTGTTGAGCGAGGTTCATGTATGCTACTTAGCAACTTCCTTACACGCCCCCTCAAACAAAAGCCGACTCATGGGCTTGAAGTTTGCACAGGCCCGCCATACCATGTGCTTGAAGACAATGGTTAATATTGGAATCATGAGGACTTAAACACATGACCTCAAGGACAAACCAGCTCTGATACCATGTCATAAACTAGTTGCTCCCAATAACTCGTCCTATACGTACAAGTATATCTTATGAGCTTAATTCATATGATTGTTAAATTATATATCTCATCCTATACGTTGAGTATGTGACCAAATGTACTTTATTTTTTATTTTAAAAAGAAATTATGCATCATAGTAGTTAAAATTTATTAACTAAATAATATGATACCACCAAAGTATAATATGAAATTAGTTAATATTGAACATTTGACTATTTTTGTTATCATGACATTAATCACATGTATCATACATGACATACAAAATGAAATATCAAATACGAGTCAAGATTTTAGTAAACAAGCGTAGTTCGAACTCGACTCGACTCGGTTCATTAATAAACAAGTCGAGCGCAGCTTGTTTATTAACAAGTCAAGCTCAACATGGGGTAAACCTCGGCTCGACTCTGCCCATTTGCAGCCCTATTTCCATACGGTAATGGTGTACCCGGTTAAACTGGCAGACATGAAGTCGGTGTGACAACCATGCTGAAGAGAAGGTTCCGGACAGAAGCAGTAAACAAGGTCTGCTATCTTATCAACCATGGCCTCACATAGATATCGAGTGTCAAACTCCTTATGAGGTTAGTCTAGTAAGCATGTTGATTGATTACTCCTTAATGAAAGTTTGGTTGTCCTGTTTACTATCATGTAGATGAGGGTAAAGCGAACCAAGAGCTAAGAAGGGTATATTTGTGGGTTTCAGAGATGAAGTTACGGGATATCGAGTCTGGTCAGTTTCTGAGCATAGAGTTATACTCAATAGAAATGTGATATTTGATGAGAAATTCATATTTAACCACATACTGAAGGTTACTGTTGCAGAAGATAACACGAATGTTGATAAACAGGTGGAGCTGAAAGACACTCTAGACGAGAGTGAGTTACAACACAAAGGTGGAGAAAATTAACATATGGATGTTTCTGATGTGCCATAATCGGCAGAGTCTAGTGCACCGACTTAACCGTTTATAGCTTCAAGTAAACCAAAGAGAGCTAGTGCAGGAATATCTCCAATGAGGTATGACATTGAGGATATGTTGACATATGTTTTTCATGTTGCTGAAGAGGTGGATATGAGTGGGCCACTTACCTACAAAGAGATTGTTTCGTGTGGCGAGGCTACTCAATGGCTTGCTATAATGGAAGTTGAGAAGGAGTATATGTCTCGAGTCTCATACTCTAATGCATATGTAGTTTGATGTACTCTATGGTATGCAGTATACCTAATCTTGCACATGATGTTAATGTTGTGAGCAGGCTCATGGTGCAACCTGACAACAAACATTGGCAATTTGTGAAGAGGAATATCCAGTACCTTAAAGGTACATATGATGTGGAGATCAATTTTGGAAGTGATACAAAGTGTTTATTGGCTAGTTATTCATATTCTTATTATGCTAAAGATATTGACACGAGGAGATCTATCACTGGTTATGTATTCACTCTTGGAGGTTTTGTGGTTAGCTGGAAGGCGATGTTACAAGCTATAGTTAATTTGTCTACTGCTGAGGCAGAGTACATGGCATTGAAATAAGTTGTCAAGGAGGGAGTATGGTTGAAGGGGTTGGTTAGTGATCTGGGCCTACAACATGATGAGGCAGTTGTTTATTGTGATTTGTGATAGTTTGAGCACAATATGTTTGGCCAATGATCAAGTCTATCATGAGAGGACTAAACAATTGATGTGAGGTATAATTTCTTGAGAACAAAGAAGATGATTAAGGTCAAGAAGGTGGGCACTGCCGACAATCCTACTGATATATTCATGAAGTTGGTTCCACATGTAAAGTTCCAACACTACTTGAACTTGTTGAATGTTCTAAGCAGTTGAATCCCTTAGGGGTGTTGAGGCAGGAGTTAGAGGATTTGATTACATCTGGGATTTGGAGGGAGGATTCTAGTCAAGGTGGAAATATGTTGATATGACTTGCATCAGATTGTCCGTTGTCGAATGGAATCACATGGGCTATTCTTTACCAGACTTGATTAAGATTAGGCCGTCTTGAGAAGTACTACTATATGTACTTCTCAATCCCTTAGTAATATGTATCTCCTCAAGTATATTGGAACTTACTCTCTCCTGCCCATGGACTAGCTAAAACGCATTGTGTTAATGAATCAAGTAAATCTGCGTGTTCTTTATTTTCTTGCCTTGTCGATTTCTCGATCCGTTCTAACATTGTGTTACGATTTTGGTAACACCTCGACCACGTCGAAAGCCCTGGCTAGTGATTCTAGCCCGGCCTTGGTAGATACATCCAACATTTTTTATATATAGCAACACATGTTTCATGATTCTTTGTAACAAAATTGATTTTGGGAATTTGGGTAATCAACACCATTCCAAGAAAGAATCCATTTATGAAATGTGGGCATGTGGCAATTAGTCAACAGCTATATATACTTACTCCCCTTAGCTATGTTTAAAATTTAGTCAAACAATGAAACCCTATATAATAAGTTCATCCATCTTTTTACTACAATCTTCTGTCAGTCACCTGATTTCTGAGTTCTGACAACCACTCACGCATACAACAAGTATTTTTTTACTGCCCTCTTCATTTTCTTATCGTTTTGAGCAGAGCCCTTCTTCAATTTCTTACCAAATGGTTCATGAAAGATTCCCCTGTTGCTGCTACTGCTACTGCCAGACATTTACTCAATACGAGCAGAGCAGCAGAAAAGTAGAGCCCTGTCTTTATTAGACCATCTACGAATCAATTATGGAACCCAAAAAAGAATTGGTTAGTGAACACAAAAGAAAAAGAGAAACAAAAAGCTTCAACCTTCCCACTTGGCTTAGCTTCTTCATCATCTTCTTCTTCTAGCTATATAGCCAAAGCTCAAACCTTCACAAATCCCCTCCTCATAAATCCGCCATCTCTCGAGACACCCAAAATATCACTTCAAATTCCGCTCCTTTTCCCCTTCCCTTCCTTCATTTGATTCCATTAGGGGAACTGGGTTTTTCCAATGGTGGCCAGGAAGCCGAGAATCGTGATAATCGGAGCCGGAATGGCGGGCCTCACGGCGGCCAACAGGCTGTACACTTCCGCCGCCGGCAGGGACGGCTTGTTCGAGCTCCGCGTCGTGGAAGGCGGCAGGCGTATCGGCGGCAGGATCAACTCCTCCGAGTTCGGCGGCGACCGGATTGAGATTGGCGCCACGTGGATCCACGGCATTGACGGGAGTCCTGTCCACAGAATCGCCGGCGAAATCGGCTCCCTCCACTCCGACCGCCCCTGGGAGTGGATGGATGGGTTCGTCGAAGAGGAAGGCCGCGCCGTCGTCGAAGGTGGGTCCCAGATTTGCCCCGACATCGTCGACTCCGTCTCCACTCTCTTCGACAGCTTGATGGATTACGCTCGAGGCGAATTGGACGAATCCCCTGTTTTTACCGGCGACACCGACACGGCCGCCGGCGGTGGCCGCGGCCTCGATTTCCACCGAATCGCCGCCGACGCTGCTAGTGCCGCCGCTTCTAACCTCAGCGTGGGCTCTTTTCTTCGGGAAGGGCTAAATGGGTACTGGGATTTGGCGAAGGATGAGGACGAGAGCAGGAAATCGGTCGAGGAAGCCATTTTCGCTATGATGGAGAACTGCCAGAGGAACGACACGTCAGCCTGCGACCTCAGAACTCTGGATTTCAACGCCGAGAGAGAGTACAGAATGTTCCGAGGTGAGGAAATCACCATTGCCAAAGGTTACCTAACCGTAATTGAATCCCTGGCCTCCGTTCTGCCTCCTGGAGTCGTTCAATTAGACAGGAAGGTTAGAAAAATCCAGTGGCAAGCTGAAGGGCAAAGTCAGGCACTGGTTGAGAATGGAATCTCCGATTCAAGGCCTGTAAAGCTACATTTCTCCGACGGATCGGTTATGACGGCAGATCATGTTATCATCACGGTTTCCCTTGGGGTACTGAAAGCTGGAATCGGGTCGGATTCGGGTCTGTTCGACCCGCCCTTACCCTTTTCCAAAACCGATGCGATTTCCAGGTTAGGGTATGGTGTGGTGAACAAGCTGTTCTTGCAGGTGAGCAATGAAAGCAAGTTCCCATTCCTACGGATGGCGTTTCACCGGCCCGATTCGGGCCAGAGGATGCAGGGGATCCCTTGGTGGATTAGGAGGACAGCTTCTCTAACCCCAATTCACAAGGACTCGAGTGTGCTGCTGGCATGGTTTGCAGGGAAAGAAGCTCTCGAGATCGAGTCTCTGAGCGACGAAGAGATCGTCGAGGGCATTTCGGCCACCATTTCGGGGTTCCTGCCCAAACCCATCAACGGGAAGTGCAATGGGGAAGTGGGTTCAGGGTGTGGAGTCAAATTCAGCAAGCTTTTGAAGAGCAAATGGGGGAATGACCCTCTGTTCTTGGGTTCTTACAGTTATGTGGCAGTTGGGTCTAGTGGAGATGACATGGATGCAATGGCAGAGCCATTGCCGAAGGTTGATGGTGAGGGTTGTTGTTCATCAGCTTCTTCGCCATTGAAGATGCTGCAAATTCTGTTTGCAGGGGAGGCAACTCATAGAACCCATTACTCAACCACACATGGAGCTTACTTCAGTGGGATCAGAGAAGCCAACAGGCTTCTTCAGCATTATCAATGGGCCAAGAAGGGTTTAGACGATTATAATTAGTTTAGTGTGTGTTCTTTTTTTTAATTATATTAAATGATTTTTTTCTTCTAAAGTCTAAACACCTATTAAATTTGATAATGATATCTCTATATTTTATTTTCTCAATCTATTCTATAATCTTCTTTTATGTTATTTTAAGATATCTTACTATCAAGAGTTGAGCAAGAGGCTACTAGGAATAGGATTAAGAAAGTGAGTGTAAAGACCAAAAATGGATGAAATGGAACGAGAGATGGTAATTTCGGTTTGATCCATTTATTTTGATTTGATTGGGTACTGACTTTCACTTAATATATAGAGCAAAGTATGTGTTTTTCAGTCCTTAACTATTTTATTTACTTCTCGATCCATTATAATTCAAGACATGTACTCACATTTCTTCTACTTCATTTCAATCACATTTTAAGTGTAATTAACAATGACTATATACAAACTTTTACTTCTCAAATAGTTTGACTTCATTTGTATCTGTAATCCCTATATCTCTTTTCTCTTCTTCTTCATTTATGATGTGCCGTTTTATTCTGTAGTACGAAGATCCAATTATAGTGTATGTTTTGTTCAAAGCAATGACAAAATTGGTCAATCAATCCTAAGTCCTACTCCTAACCCATACCCTCAACAAAACTACCTTACTTCACTTGAATTCCAATGCAGAGTGAATCATGATAACGATGGATGCACCCCGAATTTAATGCTCACAACACCATCCCTGAAGAAAATCCTCACAAAACCCACAATCACCAGATACCGTGTTGAATGCTTTGCGGCCATGAGATTTATGAGGACGTCACAGTGAATGGTGATATGGCATCTAACAGCAACGAAACGCTTAAACGTGATCCAACGGTTGTAAACTTTGCAAGGACGTCTTCACAGATAGTGATGTGAGCGCCATATGTTTTTATGGGTGGATGTATGCCTTCATATGTGCTGCCTGAATTGAAACCAAAAATGCCACCAACCTTGTGTCTATTGAAGCATGATACTTCCTAGTTCCTTGTAGTGTCCTAGTCACAAATGGGGCAAAATTAAAAGAGAAAAAAAGGGGAGAATAAATAAGTAACATAGAGAAGAGAACAAAATACAAAGGGAAGCTTTGGATCCCACCTCATCTCATCTCCAGTGTTTTTTGTTTTAACCTATGAAGGAAGGAAGGGGCTTTGTTTCTTTTCTTTTGGGAGGATTTTCTCAGTCGACAGGATCCTGTAAACCCGGCTCTTTCCGGCCCTCTTCTCTTCTCTTTTAACTCTTTCACAAATTATTATTTCTCTACTACAGAGTGTTTGAAGTTCATTGTTTAGTTTCTTCCCCACACACCCACGAAGAAACAATAACATAAAATAAATAAATAAATAACGAGTCGCTTGGATGATGGATTGTGAGTTGTGACCATAGAAAGGATGAAGGATCCTTTCTTAGTGGAATTGTTAGCTCTGCGAGATGCAATTTGTTGGTGTACATATAGAGGATGGACTTCGATCACATTCTTTGAGGATGCCCAGATAATTTTCTATAAGGTTTGTAATGACGATATCTTAGATGGGCGTGGAGGAGACATATCCCAGGAGATCTTTGGCTTGCGTTGGATGTTCAGTCACTTCATTATGATGTTTGTAGGGTGAGTTAATGACAGTGGTGTCCATCTCGTTGCAAAAAAGTCATTTTTTTAAACCCATAGATGTTGGTGGGTTTTGGTTTGGTTTCTTGGTTAGGATCAATTTGTTAGCATCAAAACAGTGTATCTTTTTGTTCTTGATAACACGAGTAATCTAATGTCAGGAAAAAAACCCATAGAAAGTGGTCCAAATTTCATGAGGAGATTGAAATTTTGGGTTGCAAATGAGCCGAGTTTTACCCCAACTCGAGTTTGGCTCGTTAATAAATGAGTTGAGCTCGAGCTCGACTCGTTTATTAACGAGTCAAGTTCGAGCTAACTTGGTTAATAAAATCTTGACTCGTATAAGATAATTCATTTTGTATGTCATACATGATACATGTGATTAATGTCAAGATGGAAAAAAAAAAGCTACATGCTCAATATTAACGAATCTCATGTTATACTTTGTGGTATCAAATTATTTAGCTAATAAATTTTAACTAGTGAAAATTATGTTATTTCACAGTATCGAAGCAATCAATGATACAAAATTGCTTATTATAATTAAATAAGATATATTTGCTCACATAATCTATGTATTAAACTTGATATAGGGTGAGATATATAATTTAACAATCCTATGAATTATCAAAATCAAACTCATATAAATCGATTCGCTTATAACTTGATAAACGAGTTGGCTCGCTAGCCACAATGTGAGAGTTGAGACATCTCATGAACTCTAAACGAGCTAGCTCACGAGTTGAGCTCAACAAGCCACCGAGTCTAGCTAACTCACGAGCTCTGCGAGCTGCAGAAGGCTAAACTCAAACTCGGCTTTCGAACAAGCTGAGTTTCGAATGAGCTTTTTTCGAGTCAAACGCCAAGTTGCTTTCGAACAACTCAGCTCATTTGCAGCCTAGGTAGAATATATAAGATTGCGTGCTTTGATTGAATCGACATACCACAATGTACATTCCATGAAGGCACGAAATTCAGTTTCCATGTGTACGTAGGACACTCACAAGTCACAATCTATGGTTGAGTTTTAAATTAAATTTGATGTTTTAATTTTATTACTCGTCCCGATGGAAACAGATTATTTTAACTAACGGTATAACTTTTATATGTTAAATTAGAGTTACATTTAAGATTATAAGTAAAACACATCAAGATGATAAGATGTTCGACATCAATTCCTATAATTTTTCATATGGATCTATAAACTTAATACATTTTACTGATTGTAACATTCTGCGATCGAATGAGTCGTTCTTTCATGCACTCAATCTCAATCAAACAAAGTGCTAGCTTCCCACGTTGGGAATCAAATCTTGTCTGGCGAATTATGTGTTTGATGAGAATTGTTTGTTTAAATTGGGACAACTAGTGGTTGTGCTTTGCCATGGGTACCATGCATGGTGATGATTGTAGGCAAAAGTACAGGCTTCTTTCGATTTTCGAACTGTTGATGCAATTTGCATGCAAGTGGATGCACCCTTGCTAGATCAAGAGATAGGGTTTTGGCATTTGGTGGCAATTGAAGGGTAAATGACACAGTTTCTTGCCTGCCCAGTTTTTATTTTCCCTTTTGTTTAAAATTTAGGGCAATGTCTATTTTTTACCCAAACCTTTTTTAGATTCTTTTATTTTAACCAAACCTATAGAAATTCTATTTATTATCCAAACGTATTATAATTTATCAAAGTCTGGGCATTCATTCTGTTACCGTTACTTAATTCGTCCACGTGAGGGGTGGGATTTTGTTTTTGTTTTTTGATAATCTTCTTATTAAAAATAGTAAATGATTGTATTCTGACCGCCACGTAGGAAGTCAACTCATTATGGTCATACTTAGTCAGCATTACTAACAGAAAAGTTGACCGAGAGTTAACGTTTGGATAATTTTTAGGAATTCAATAGGTTTGGTTAAAGTAAAAGAATCTGAAAAAGGTTTGGGTAAAAAATAGACATTGCCCTAAAATTTACATAGTACTTGACACGATATTGATGTAAGATCTATTATTAACACTTTTGTAAAATCTCGAATTCTTGAATGTTGGGGTACAATTATAGTGAAACATCAGAGAGGAAAATTACAAGGAATGTTTTCTTGTATTGTATGTAAGTGTTCACCTAGTCCCATTGGTGTGAGAATAAATATGAACTGACTTGGTTAATTCAAAATGGATGATTTCGTACTAATATAGAGTGTACGAAATCATCAACACATGATATGATATTAATAGACTTGTGCAAACTTTAAACCAAATGGTAAATTTTCGTTTAATGAGACATGTTTTCTTTCGACGGGAAATATTAGTCCATTTATACAAAAGAGACTCAAGGGAGGATACAAATGCACCATGTACAAGTAGACTAGAAAAAAATATATCTAAGAGTTGAAAACTCAAATAAACCTATACTCGTATGAGTCAATGACAACTGAGGAGGGATATGATTTTGAAAATTAGAGAGAAGAAATAAACACGTTTTTTCAAACACAGTTTTTGAAAAAGATATTTCAAAGAATGTTTAACATCCAGAACATTTTCCCAATAAGATGTTGTCCGCTTTTGAGCCTCGACCCTCATGATTTTTGCGTTGGGATGCAATTCAAGGCGACTTCCCATAAGGTCATCCATCCTTGTAGTACTCCACAGCGAGCATGTTTAACTTCAATATGAACTCATTCATTTCACCCGAAAAACGCATCTTGTCAGTTAAGACCGATTTCCTACTTATGAACCATGGAGAGATATGAACAATGTATCTCTCTCGTGCTTTGTCGATGCGAGATTCGTCTAAGGTGTTACATACACCCCCTCCTTGTGACTCAACATACTCATTGAGGTTTGCCCCACTACCATTCAAGAGGGTCGCAGAGAGGCTCACTTTCCATAAGGTCACCCATCCTTGTAGTACTTTACAGTGAACACGTTTAACTTCAGAGTTCTTTCAAGAACTCCTCCATTTCACTAAAAAATGCGTCTTGCCAGTTAAGGCAGGTTTCCTACTTATAAACCTTGTTAGAGAGTGGTATAAGATCCATCAAAACATTCTTCCAACAACTCGAGTTATTAAGACCAACTGGTTTATGACATGGTATCAGAGCTGGTTTGCCCAAGTGGTCGTGTGTTAGAATCTCCACGACCCCCAACATTAACAGTTGATTAAAGCACTAGGTATGGTGATCGTCTGTCCAAACATCAAGCCCACGGGTTGACTTTTGTTTGAGGGGGCGTGTTAAAAATGTTATAAGATCTCGCATAACCTTCTCCCAACAACTCGAGTTATTGAAACCAACTAGTTTATGACATGCCTTGAATCTCTCGCATACTTTGTCAATTTGGAATTTGCTTAAAATGTTACATTTTCGAAACAAGCTCTTAATACGAAC